AGGGTTTCTGTAGTCCACATGCATTTTGATACCTGCGGACCTAGGTCATGAATTTCTCTCTCCTTATTCGCACCAGGGATACAATTGATGGAAAATAACCTCAAACAATGCTTTGAAATGAGTTTGGTGCCATACCATAAGCCTTGTTTTGGATTTAAATTACAAAGTAAGAGGTTGTTTGCGTACTTAGAAATATATTATTTGTGAAATATATTACTGATGTAATACATTACTGGAGTAATACATTACCTAGAAATGAATTATTTTTATTTGGGTAGCATCTAGATACCTCTTGGGAAATACATTGTTATTGTTTGGCTATGTCTGGAAGAAGTATGGGAAATACATTATCTTGCTTGAAAATATTGGATGTAGTTTGCATAAAGGCTTAGCCCCTAAGAAATCAAAGTAAGGCACACCTTCAAATAGTGTCGAAAGATGTCATTTTCAGTGCTGAAAATAATTATGATAAGATGAAATCTTATTTTCATCTCTAATTATAAAATTTAAAGCACTAAAAATAGTGTAGACCAAGTAGATTTATAAACACTAAAAATCTTGAAAATTGACAAATTAGATAATGCATTACAGGACGGATTATTTTCAAGACTTGAAATTGGTCCACGTATCTAAGGTCGAGATGATGGGATTTGAGAGTTTTTTTGCGATAAAAACAACTTTTTCTAGTGAGTCTTCCATGTGCGCCTTAGTTTTAGTTTGATTGTTTAGGGCCTCAACCTTATGTATACTTTTTCTGAAAATATTGCAATAACTTTTATTCATAATAACGAGATTTTTTGTATAGTTCTTAACAGTTTTCTCTTAAGATAAAATATCAGTTGAATCTAAAATAGACTATTCAAGTACAAATCCCAATCTACATCTTCTTAGAGTCTAGGAACAAAACTGGGCATAAAGAATTGTGGATAACACCACTTGGTCATTTCATCCACCCTCCAAAACGATGATTCAGGTACAAATCCCAATCTACATCTTCTTAGAGTCTAGGAACAAAACTGGGCATAAATAATTGTGGATAACACCACTTGGTCATTTCATCCACCCTCCAAAACGATGTACATAGAAGAGTGTTGAAAATCCAAAAATGGGCCAAGGTTGTTGAAACCCAAATAATTTGTGTCTGAGAGAGAGAGAGTTTTGTAAGAAGACCTCAAATGAATGATGTCAATTTTATAATTTGTGCGGGTCCACAGGATCCGCATTACTCGTCTGACCATGTAATAGACTTCTTAGCCTCTTGGGCGTAAAATCTATTTCACGATTTTAGAACAATGTTAAGAGTCACATTTCCGTTTCCTGCATACTAATGGTTACCCAAACACAAGAAATGGCACATTTCCTTGAAATTCATTACACTGTAATGGTAATGCAGGTACCCAAACAGCCCCTAATAGATTTTTTAGCCCCTTGGGTGTAAAATCTGTTTTGCGATTTTTGGAACAATGTTAGGAATCACACTTCCATTTCTTGCATACTAATGGTTGCCCAAATGCAAGAAATAACACATTTCCTTGTAATTCGTTACACTGTAATGGTAATACACGTACCCAAACGGCCCCTAATAGTATAGGTGCATTCTTTTTAAGTTTTAATGTATACGGCGGTAAGCCACTTGGTTTTAAAATGTTAAAATATTTTTTAAGATATAAATTATATTTATCATCAATATCGGAATCAAAACTATATGCATGTTCTTCCCTTGAAAAATGTGATATGATAGTGTCATTTATGTTATCTACACAATTTCATTTGTAGTTGCTAACATACATAAATCTATAGAGAATTTGACTATGTAGTATTGAGGTCATTAAACATCAACTTTGAATGACTGTATACCGTGTTAATGTTATTATCAATACCAATGTTCGAAAAATCGGTGATCTGATCCACCACGCACGTCATAACACCAAGTTGTTAAAGTGAACATGCCTTTTGAACTAGCATTTTTATACAACATTTGAAACATGCTTACCTAATCGGTCAAAAGACCCTACTTTCACATTGTGCTCACCTCAAAGACAGCTAGCAGTTAATGATGACGTTGAGGTCACCTTTTATGGTTGCACCCTCTTTCCAAAATCATGGATGTGGGATTACTTTTAGCTTTTCTAAGTAAGTTCGTCATTGCTTATCAAATGAAAGTAGCATTTAATTGGGTAAAAACTTAAGAAGCTCTTTCATTATATGACCAACGGTAGTTGTTTTGCATCTTATGAAGCTATCTATCTCTTACTTAGATTTTTTTAAAATTAATAATAAATTTTTTTATATAATGTATAAACAATAAAAGTACATATAATTAGGTTTTAATTGCATATAATTACATAAATAAATTCTATTTAACTCATTTACAAAATTAGTATAATTATATTGAAAGTCGTATTGTTTATTTATCTTAATAACTTGTTAAACTTATGTCAGTATAATCATATGAATATGATCGCATTAAACTTTATAGGGGATTTTATTTATTTTTTAATCATATGATATGGAAGCATTTTCTAATAATTTTTAAACATGTTTATTACTATATTATAGTAAAAATTATACATTGATAACCAAATCTTGTATTTTATTTATTAATTTATTTATATTATAAATTTTGTAATATATTATTTTTTCTTATAACTGTAAATAAGATTTTTTTTTAATTAAATGATATTCTAAGATATTTTAGAGTTTTTATTTGTATAATAAAACAATTATAAAATAAAAAGTTATAAGCCAACAACTTCAATTTCAATATATACTATTAGAGTAATGATCCTATGAGACTCTCCCACACTCATGTGTGTAAGACCTCAAAAGATCACCATTAAATTTGGCATACATATATAAAAAAGTTATTATATGGGTGTGAGACTTGACTTTTTTAGAGATCTGTGTCAAATTTAATGGTGATCGTTTGGGGTCTTACACACATAGGTGTGGGAGAGTCTCATAGGACCATTACTCATACTGTTATACTTAGTTATGTTGTAATAATTTGGATGAGTAAAATGAAATAATAAATGTTTGATACTTGAATGTGATACTAATTTCACTTTATGTGTGTAGTAAAATGATGATAAAATAATAAAATACAAACCAATAATTCTAATTTCGACTTAAGTTTTAATAAATATTTGATGAGAATCTTAATACAGAGAAAAAATATCTTAATATTCGCTTATTGATGAAAAAAATAAAATTTATTAATATAGTACTCTAATTTCTTATTAGATTTCTGAAAAATAATATTTATAATGATATTTAATTTTTTTTTTAAAACCGAATCAGACTCATTCTTGATCCAAAAACGCTGATTTATCGATCGGTACGTGTTTTTAGGGTACCCGAAAAGTGGCATGGAACCGTCGTTTAAACCACCGATCTATACTATAAACGCGAACCCTTCGGCGGACCACCGGTCGCCACTTATCAGCATCAGAGGTCCGTATGTCACTCCATGCCATGCCATACATCACCGGCTATCTTACTTTGTACGACACATAATATATTATATTTTAATGTATGGTTATATGTTAAAGTGTACGACTTATGATCATATATTATTTAGTTCGTTATTTCGTGAGATGCTGACATCACTACCTTACATCAATACGTGGCAATTAATGCAATGTATTATTTAAGTACATCTATTTTCGCTAAAATGTAAAAGGATCTTTTTTATTTTAAAGTATATATTAAATTTTTATTTATAGATAATTATGTCTTTAGGGAATGCTTTAAGAAAACGTGATAAGATAAGCGTGTCATACAAAATATTCTTTTTAGTGGTAACCTGATTTCACTTACCTCCTATTAATTTATCGTATTATTTAAATAGATATTATAGCAAATATAAGTAAAATTTAAAGGACTTTTTTGTGGTCTTACGGGAGCGTCATATACATATATTCTTCATGACATAAAACTTACCATAGATTCTAAATTTTTTTTCATGAATAATTATGCCATTACAGGTCTCTAATCTAAGGGAGTGCTTTCAAAACGTGATAATCTAAAAAGTTAGTGTAGTCTACAAAATACACATATCATACAAAATATTGTTTTAAGGGAAAATGTTATATAGAGCCAAGGCTTTTATCAATCAAATTTGAGCCTATCTCAAAACTTTCACTAGAAGATGTTGTTTTGATGCTCAAATATCCTCAAATTGATCATCTCGACATCAAGATGCATGAAATAAAAAAAAAATGGATTTCAAGTTTGAAAAATAGTTTATTTTGTAATGTATTTTTAGACGGTCAATTTTCAAAATTATCAAATTTTTATAGATATGTCGATCTACACTATTTTTGAAGCTTTACACTTTATAAATAAAGATAAAAATATATTTTAAGGCTATCACAAAGATTTCTAGTATTGAAACTGTATTTCTTGATACTATTTGAAAATAGGCTCTAATTTGATTGTTTAGAGCCTAGGCCAGACCGTACCCTTGTTTTAATGGTCTGACCTACTTTTAATTTTTCTCTCATGTCACACTATAGCATGGAACAAATCATATGCTATCTCACATGATATGATATACAATATATTATTATATTTTAATAACTTTAATAACACATATCGTAAGAGATAAGAAAAATATCTTATTATTTCATATTTTTAACTTCTATATCTCATCAAGCTCAAAAATTAAAAATATTACTTGTAAATAGAATGAATCTATCTTTTCCATCTTTCAACCCCTTATACTTTTTGGACACCTCAATAATTTATAAAATAATTCTCTCTCTAAAACCCTATATCTCTCACACATCATCTCTCTCTAAAACTCAAATTCCATCACTCTCTCGTATGATCGTCTATCCCTCAAAACTCCACCCCTGTTCCTAAAAGTCAAACTCCAATCTCTTTTCCTCTTTAAAACTCCATCCCTCCCTAAAAACCATACTCCACCACTATCTCTAACTCGACTCTCTTTTAATTTATCTCTTTTAAAAAAGTATAGAAACGGTGCTCCTGTAGGTTTAAAAATTATACCCAAACTCCAACTCTCGCTCTAACTCCATCTCTCTTTTAATTTATCTCTTTTGAAAAAGTATAGAAACAGTGCTCCTGCAGGTTTAAAAATTATAGTTAGCCTATTTGCAGCGACTTTCTTTAAAAAATTATTTGTATGTACGTTAGTTTCTTAATATAAAAAAAAAAGTTGGTTGTCTCTTTGTTTTTAGATCTTGCAGTGTTGGCATCGGATGTGAGATCCAAATGAATAATGTGTGCCATGCGATGCACCTAAACCAAACCTCTCTGCGTCTTCCTTCCTCTGATGTCTATTTCCAATGCACAAAGCACCTTGGCCACCAAAAATGGTGAGCTTTCTCTATTTCGCTCTCTTTTTTTGGTTCTCTCTGCTCAACGCAGGAAGGCCCTCTCTCGACTTTCCATTCCTACGTCTCTCTCTCTAGCAGACGACGACTCTCTTTCTCTAACAAACTGCGACTCTTCCAGGTTCTTCCTCGTCCTTTTTTCTTTGAGTTTTCACTGTAGAAGGGGTTCTTGCATAGAGTTCTTTCAAAGGAAATTTGATTTTTATTTAGATTTTTTCCTTTGAAATCATGGTTCCTTTTGAAATTTGGATTCTACAAAAATAAGCTCTGATTATTTATGCCACTTTCAGGGTTGATTTTAACTTGCTGTTGCAGAATTTTTAGCATAAATTTACACCATTTTTATTAATAAATAACTTAATTTATAGTATTTTAAGTATTCCTTTGAATTGAAGTGAGGGTTTTCTCACTGAGATTTGGTTTTACTATCTTTCTAATGGGGTTTCTTAAAGACAACAGATTAGCTCTCAATCTGGGTTTTCCCTCTGAAATCATACAAATTACAATATTTCTTCTTATTGTTTGGAATTTATGAAAAAAAAAATCTAATTTTTGTTCTCTCATAACGAATAATGAGCCTTTAAGATTTTATTATTAATATGGTATTTCATAAAAATAATATCTCAGAAGATGTAATTTTGGTTCTGTAGATATATTATTTCTTTATATGCTCCAATATAAATTGTTTTTTTTTTATTTGGTATATACAGAATTTATATCGCTCTCTATCTCTGAAGGAGACCATCAGCCTCATCACAATCTCGGTAGGCACCCATCTTTTTCTTATGCTGCAATCTGAAATAAATTTTTTTTTCTTTTTTTTGGTCATTGTGAATGAAAATTTCTTGATCTAGGGTTTCTATGTTTATTGCATATATTTATGTAGAGTTTGTTGAAAGATTTCCTCCAAACAAAATTCAACAAAGATTGCATATAAAATTTAATAATCCGTTATTTTTTTTTTTTTTTTTTTTTTTTTTTTTGTGAATGAATTTCTGATTTTCTTAAAAAATCTGTTTTGGTCTTTATTTTGAGAACCGAAAAAATAAAAATAAAAATTTCGAAACCCACAAAAATCTCCAAATCTTACAAAATATTGACTCAATTCAATAGGGAAAAATCGATTAACATGGTATTCTATTTTTTTTTTGGGTCATTGTGAAGGAATTGTTGTCGATTTAGGGTTTCTAAGTTTGTTGTGTCTATTTATGTATAATTTGTGTCAAAGTATGTTAAAAGTTTTTTTTCGGTCTTTGCTGTGGAGAACCAACAAAATTTAGCACAGATTTCTTGACCGTATAAAAAATCCCCAAATCTAAAATATCCATTAAATTCAATAAGAATTTTCAATGAATGTGGTGTTCTTGTTGTAATTTTCGTTGTTCAATATGATTCTATTACTTTTTCTGCACTTGTGATTCATTTCTATGTTCATTGGCATTTTTATGGATCCACTTTGAAGTTCCATGTCATATATCTTACAGTCATTCATGGCTTCTTATGAAGTCAATTTGCTGAATCATTTAAACGTTTTTGCATTATGCCCATTCCTATCTATGGACAAATTAGTGAGACGTTCATAGTATTACAATATCATAATTTCTGATTATAAGTTACCTGTGAAGTTCAAATTTCCTGTATTATTGGCTGCGTTGGCTCTATACTTTGTCTTTTAAATCGAACTCAATTAATACTCTGAATCATGGGAATTCTTATTATAAGAAAACATTCAGATTTATTTTTCTATGTTAGAAGTTGTCTTCTATGTTGCAGGTCAGCAAACTTCAGTTCTTGCATTTTAGTAGTTGTTGTGTCTTTGCATCAAAATATGCTACATTTCCTTTTAAAGTTTTGTACTTTTGTAACAAGATGTGATTAGAGTTTGATAGAGGAAATGAGTTAAGACAAATAACTATATTCTCAATTTCCATATGACACATGTTCATACCAGTTTGGGACGTTAGGTATTAGATTTTATTTATTTCATTTTTTTTATCATTTATCATTATGCCACTGTATCGATTTCACCTGTCTTTAATAGGTACCACGACATGACTAAAATCATTTATGTAACTCAGCTTTAGGTCTACTTGTTAAGGAAATATCTTGACCAAAAAAGGAAGCCCACAAAATATACTTAATTCCATTTCAACAACACACTTTACATTTCTCACAACAAACAAATGGACAGCATACTTTGAGCCACGACTTCTCTGATCTTCAACTGTCTCCATAATCCATACAGACTCTTGAAACAACATCCTAATCCTGAAACTTATTACCCTCAAACTCCGTCTTAACTTTAGGCCTCATCGAATTTTCCTTTTCTACAATTTCAAACTGTGTGAACCCTATTCTTCCTAATGCTGAACTACTGAAATTTTCTTTAATAAAATTTTTTTATAACACATTTGAAGTTAGCATCTTAATTTATTTTATTACATTTCAATTTTCAAATGATTATTGAAATTAATTGAATGAATATTTTTTTTTGGTATCTGCAAAATATGTTTCGCTGTCTATCTCTCAAGGAGACCATCAGCGTCATCATAATCTCGGTACGCATCTATCTCTCTCTTATGTTGCAATCTGATTTATTTTTTATTTTTTGGTCATTACAAACGTAATTGTCTTGATGAATGAGATTGCTCTCCTCTATTGACCAATAAAGTATGTCGCAATGACATATTTGGAACCTCTGATTGCATCTGAAAGGCACATATCTTCAAGTCTCGAAAGAGGCCTAAATTTTTATATGTGATTGCTCCAGAAACCAATTCATTGTAACAAAAAATTGAAATACTTTGAACGATCATCGGCTTGACTGCTATACCTTTTTTATATTCATTGGCAATGCCTTCTTGATTGTAGTCCTTTGTTACCATGGGAGGATTGGACCTCTCCAATGAACTATTTGACTCGAACTTGACCCTGGATATTGAATCTATGTTATTTTTTAATTGGAGGAAGAAGGATGAATTCCCATGCATCACTTTTTCCTTAATAAATTTCTCTTATAACACATTTGAAGTTAGTATCTTAATATATTTTATTATATTTCAATTGTCAAATGATTATTGAAATTAATTTAATGATTTTTTTTTTGGTATCTACAGAATCTGATTTGCTCTCAAGGAGACCATCAACGTCATCATAATTTTCATAGGCATCTATCTCTCTTATGCTGCACTCTGAATTATTTTATTTCTTTTGTCATTGTGAATGTAATTTATTTGATGAATAAGATTTATTTGCTCTATTGGCCATAGTATGTTGCAATGACATATTTGAAACCTCTGATTGCACTTGAAAAGCACATTTTTTCAGGTCTCCAAAGAGTACTACATCTTTATACGTGATTGCCTTAGAAACCAATTCATTGTAACAAAAAAATTCAAATAGTTTTAACGGTGATTGGGTTGACTATTGTGCTTTAGTTATATTGGTTGTCAATGTCTTCTTGATTGCAGTCCTTTGTTACTATGGAAGGATTGGACCTCTCGAATGAACTATTTAACTTGAACTTGACCCTGGATATTGAATGTATACTATTTTTTAATTGGAGGAGGAAGGATGAATTCCCATGTGTCGCTTTCATGTAAACTCAATTTATTGATGTATTGTGTTTATCCATCATTGATATTTCACAGCTTTAAAATAAGAGTTAGAATAGTTAAATTTATGTATTTCAGATAATACACATCGCACTCACATCCAAAACTATCAATTGAGGAGAACTAATCTATCCTTAAGCTGTGTTCAACTATGGTCTTTGGTTTCAATATGTATTTGATGAAAGAGAGCAACTCAACAATAGAACGATCCTAGGGTAATATCATTCCAACTAATGAGTATTATTTATATTAAATATTGTATATTTGAAAATGAATATGCCCTGATATTCCTTTTGAATTCTTGTATTATAAGAATTTGTTACACAATAGTGCTGTCCACGTTTTATTTGGGCAGGCATCCATTCATTCTGTTAAATATTACAAGAGAAATCTCAAATTTCTCTTGGCATTGCACATAAAAGTAATGACTGGGAACTATTTGTTAGAGAGGAATGTAAGCATGGGGATATAGATAGTTGGAAGGAAAAGGAATCCCTCAACATGAGAGTTTCCTCAACTGATTCTCTAATTATTTCATCAATTTCTTTGTTGGCTTCACTCTAAACAGGTCCAATGATAAGCTCCCTCATTATTCTTCTTTGTTGGCTTCACTCTAAACAGGTCCAATGATAAGCTCCCTCATTATTCGAGAACCATCACGATAGGCTCTACTTGACTCTGAGGGATAATGTTACTAGAAACCTGCTATCAGATAGGAGCTTTAAAAAGCTGAATTATAAGTGCATCTGACATATGCTAAACTTTGATTTCTACATATATTTGTGCAGTGTGCACCAGTTACTGAAAGAAAAACGTGGTTTGTACCGAAGCTTACCCCTTACCCATGATAGAATCTTGGGGGAGTCTTTATTACAATAATTTTGGCGGTAAATTTTATGCTCTTTTAGAGTTCTATTTAGCCCCAAAAGGAAATTATGTTTGCCCAGCGTTTGTTGAAATTTCAAAAAAGAAACTTTTTGGAGTTGATTATAGAGTTATAAAAAACAAATTCGTTGTACAATGGAGAACTCGAGAGATGTTAGACGCTGTCTCTACTTCTACTTCTAAAGATGCAGGAACAAATGATGCAAGTGAAGACAAAAAGGAAGAGATTGTGGAACAAAGTCATTTATTCCTTATGCAAATACATAGAGACGACGGCATACAAATTGGCAGTTGAAAAATTGGATCTTGAAGCGACATACGGAATGAAAAAGAAGATACTATCAAGAAGACATCCAGCAAGAAATAGATATTAAAAATGACTTAAATAGCATTTTTGATAAATACATTGCATTGGAACACATGAGGTCTGAACTTTTGTATATGCAGATGTTTAAACCGTTCTGTCCATGTAAATTCTTTACACAACTTTATAATTGTATGTAACGTAGTTTCCATGTCCAAAATTTTCTTCTGATGAATTTAAAGGTCATTTCCACAAAACCGAACCCTTACAAATATTGAAACCCTTATTCCATGCAATTAAGAAGGTGCTTCAATATCACAAGGATTCTTATAATTCTCTTTTGACAGAAATTAATGGTGACAAATTCTGTAATATTGTATTATAAATGTTACTCTTCTCAACCTGCGTCTCACTCGAGGTGATGTCGCCCATAGCAACCAACGTCTCAACCTTCGGACCAGGTTTGGGCTACCAAACCCACCGGGCTCATCGCCAGCTGGCAACCTCACCGTGGGCCCGTTATTAAGCTTCGAGCTAGAGTAAATGAGCAACCTTTGGTTCCCTCCCCTACTGTTGACCCTGTTGTAGATGGGTGGGAACAACAGTCATGGCCCTCCTCAGCTGCACTTCATCTTTGCAGCGTAAACCAGGGAAAGAGTCGTGCCTGGACCTTGCCCAGGTTTCGTCGGGTCACCACACTCTACCCAGCCCATCCTCTTTTGTGCGCCGAGTCCCTTCGATGGCCACTGACGGCACATTTATTTCCCCTGACCCTCTGCTCAGGGAGGAGGACACGTCACCAAGGGCGCCGCCCCTTGCTGTCCACATCTTACCCTCAGTAGCCACCCCCGTACAACTGTGGCCCTCTCTCTCGCCGTCGCCTCTACCTACCCCGTCACACCTGGCGCCCCCGAAGGTTGCCCCACCGCCCTCGGCAGCCTCCCCCGTATAGAGGTCGCCCTCTCTCCCCTCCCTCGAGACTCTCCCGTCGTCCTCTCTACCTACCCCGTCTCTTCTGGTGCCCCCGGAGGTTACCCCTTGCCCTTTCATCACGGCCAAGGGAGACATGTGTCCTGACACCCTGCTTCGAGATCCTTCTTCGGCCCTTCCACTTCCCTCTCTTCCGTCGCTTATTCTCCTTTCCATGTTGGCAGCCTCCATCTCCTATGTTGCCTCCAACTGTGCTGCCCCCTCCTCTTCTTTTCTACCTACTCGTTCTGAGGCAGAGGCTGATACTCCTCTCTCGCTTTCGCCCATGGACGACTATCCGACCCCCTTTGGAACCACCCCTGTGCCTTCCCTCGACCTCTATCTTCCTGACCCAGAACCCGCCTATCCTCTCCCCCTTCCCCTCACCTGGTACGTGTCAGCAGGGTTAGGACGGTCCACTTCCATCCTTTCCCCCACTTCCCTTGGCTCTCCTGCACTTGGGTCTGCACTGATTCCCACCACTTCCACTCCTACCTTCCTTTTCCCCCCTCTTCAGTGCCTCTTCACTCCTCCAACCTGTCTGGGTTCTCTTTTCTTGCCCCCCTCCCCCTTTCTTATTCCCCCCAAGCCCTTTCGTCCCAAAGTTTTTTTGCCTCTTTCTCCTCCCCCCTTAGTGGCTTCTCGCTCAGCCTCCCCTTCTCTTCTCTCTGGTAGCGGCCCCCTGCCCGCTCCCCTTATCATCCCGCCTTCCGCTTCTCTTAACCCATCCCCTCCTACACGTCCTCATCCTGTTGAATCCTTTCCTATCCTGCCTTCTGACCTCTACCCTCGAGATTTGGGGTACCTTCCGGAGTCGTCCGAGGCATCTGTTAAGTCCATCTCTCCCCTCACGGAGGTTAGCGTAGAGAGGGTCGACAGAGATGGAAATTTCCAAGAACAAGAGCCTTCTGAAGGCCATGATTCTCCGATCTCTCCCTCTTCGGCCGAGGACAGAGCCGAGGTGGTCGACGGGACAGGATCGACAAGGAGTCGACAAGAATGAAAGAGATCTATCGCATTATGGGCTTCCATTATGATGGTCCTGAAGGCCCAGTACACCGTTTCCTACAAGCAGACGCCTAGAGTCGACTCAAGGTGAGCTCTAGAGGACAGAGAGAACTCCTTAACCTGTTCTCCTCTATCTCTTATGAGGATTCCCCCTTGCTCTTTCCCCATCCTTGGCCTCCTCATCCTCTATGAGGAGATCTCCTAGACTAGCACTCGCTTCTCTTCCTTCTCCCAAACAATGAAGATTATTTTCTGGAACATAAGAGGACTGGGTCACTCTACAAAGAGGAACGCAGTAAAGGATGTGACCTCAAAATACCTCCCGACTATCCTGGCTCTTCGGAAACCAAGCTTCCTATGCCCTCCCTCTCTCAAATCCATCAGGTCTGGGGTAGAAGACCCTGCCAATGGGTTGCGCTTCCTGCAGTTGGGGCGTCAGGGGGTATTTGAGTGATCTAGAATCCCTCATAACATCCCCTTGTCTCTTCCCATTTAGGGGATTTCTCTGTTTTTTACCTTCTTTTTCACATCCGATGGGCTACATTGGAACTTTTCATCTATCTACAGCCCCTGCTCGGCTGCCCTCCACCCTTGTCTCTGGTTGGAACTTGATCTGGTAGCCTCCCTACCCACCCTGTCTGGTGTCTTGGAGGAGACTTCAATATTACCAGATGGTCTCATGAGAGTAACTACAACTCTTCCATCTCTCAGGGAATGTTGGACTTCTTAGATTTCATTTCTCGACAGGAACTTCTAGATTTACCCCTTCAAGGTTGTCGATTTACCTGGTCCAAGTACTCTCGTCAACCCTCTTTGTCCAAACTTGACAGATTCCTTTTTTGGGCAGACTGGGAGGAAACTTTCTCGGGATCCCACGGAATGGCTTTATAGCCAAAGCCGCCTCTGACCATTGCCCTATTCTTCTCGATACCCAAGCCCTCCGCAGAGGTCCTAAAACATTTCGTTTTGAACTTGCCTAGCTAGAAGAAAAGTCTCTTCTTACCCTCATTCCTGCCTGGTGGAATTCCTTCTCTAATCAAGTCTCGGGCAGTGCAGGTTTCTGACTCCAAACCAAAATTCAAAGGCTTAAAGCCGCTTTGAAGATTTGGAGTAAATCCATCCTTGGGAACTACGGCCAAACCAAGGCCTCCCTCCTTAATCCATTCAAACTTTAGATAGGGCAGAGGAGTCACGACTCTTGACATAAGCGGAATTCGATTCGAGGAGCCAATTGAAGTTGGATTACCTCTCCACCCTAAAAAAAGAGGAACTGTATTGGTTCCAGAGATCTAGAGTTAACTAGCTTAAACCCGGAGACCTGAATACACAATTTTTCTACCGGATAGCTAATTCTCGTAGGAGAGACGACACTATCTCGACCATTAAAGTGAGTAATTCTTACCTGGTTCAGCGAAACGACATCGAACAAGCGTTCCTTTCATATTTCCAAGCCCTCTACTCCACCCCTGTTGTCCCCAGACCTGCAATAGCTGACTTGGATTTCCTGTCTTTTACGGATGCACATGCCCTCTGGCTTGAGCGTCCATTCCTGGAAGAGGAAATTCTTAAAGCCCTAGACGGATTAGCTAGCGACAAAGCCCCTGGTCTAGACGGTTTCCCCATAGCCTCTTTCAAATTATTTTGGGATATTTTCTGCTTAGATTTCTTGAGCTTCTTAAAAGAGTTCTTCCTCTGGGGAATTTTAAATAAGGCTATTAACGCCACTTTTATATCTCTGATACCAAAGGTGGAAGGGGCTGAGAAGCTAAAGGACTTTCGGCCTATAAGTCTGTTGAATTCCTATTACAAAATTCTGGCCAAAGTCATGGCTTCAAGGCTACAACAGGTCCTCCCTTCCATCATCTCCCAACAGTTCTTCCATTGGGAAATTTTAAATAAGGCTATTTAAAATGATGTGGGTTCTCATATCCGCTGCTAATATTAGGGCTGATGCAAATAATATTAGGGTTATTTTAATTTTTTTTTATTCTTTAGTTTATCTCTTCAAGAATAAGAGAGGAGGTGCGTAGGGATAATTAGGTGGGTATGAATTTATCGAATTTATCTTGTGCATATTGATCAATTGAATTGGGTTAGTTTAAGAGTATAAATAGATAAAGCTAAATTAGGGGAGCTAGTTTAGGAATGTAAAAGGATAAGGTTAAATAAAAAGTAGTTTTTAGGCTTTGGATAAAAGGGGATGGTACGTGAGTGTAATAATTCTAAAATTCCAAAAAAAAAAAAGAAGAAAACTTTTAATAAGTGATGGTTCGTATGAGCATGATGGTCCTTAAGAACCATCACTATTTTCAAAAGCTTTTGCTGCCTTGCACTTGCGACATCCACTAAAGTACGTGGGCTTTAAGCGTTTAAAGTGTAATTTAATGGTTACACCTCATATGTGAGGTGTAACTTAATAAAAGAATATAATATAGTATCTTAAGAATTTAAATACGAGAGGTGGGAGTATGAGGTGTAACTTAATAAAAGAATATAATATAGTATCCTAAGAATTTAAATACGAGAGGCGAGGACTCCCACCTCAGAAAATTTTGAGATCTCTCTCTAGCCGAATTTCTATCGGAAGCTCCCTTACAAATATTTTAGGTAAGTGACTTTATTATCTTAAAAAATAACTCGTTCTTTTTAAAAATAAAATGAAATAATTATTTCTGCTCATTATCATGAAATTTAGGCGCGATAAATTTTATGCGCAAGTGACCTCATTATTTTGAAAAATAATCTTTTTAATAAAATTATA